CTTTGGAATTTGGGACCACCCTTGTGATTTGGGGAGTTTGGAATTTTGGGACCTTTGTGATTTGGGGACTTTGGAATTTGGGACCCTTGTGATTTGGGGAGTTTGGAATTTTGGGACCTTTGTGATTTGGGGACTTTGGAATTTGGGACCCTTGTGATTTGGGGAGTTTGGAATTTTGGGACCTTTGTGATTTGGGGACTTTGGAATTTGGGACCCTTGTGATTTGGGGGATTTTGGAATTTGGGACCTTTGTGATTTGGGGACTTTGGAATTTGGGACCCTTGTGATTTGGGGAGTTTGGAATTTTGAATAATTCTCCGCGAAATCACTATTTGCCAAAGTGTCACCGGGTAAAGCTTTGAAAAGGGTGTATTCGGAAGATGTGGACGTAAAAGGGAGGGTACAGGTAGAGAGAGTGGGTCAAGTAATATCGACCATGCAGGAGCGGAAGAGGTATAGGAAGGTTCGGTTTCGCGGCTCTCCAAGTATCTTTGTCTATGTTCAATGACGAAACTATATTTGTTTCTCCATATTGTGCCGTCCAACAAATCAACTATATTTGTCGAGGCTTTCTGTTGACCTATGGCAAACGCGGTAGCGAGTTGCTCAATCGGTAATAGGTTTCCCTTTTGTACAGCCTTTTCGTGTCTGACGTCAGTATCCTTAATGTCCCCATCTACGTTTCCCGACAACGTTTTGTTCGACGAGACGGATTGTACGATGATCTCGGCGATTAAATTAAAAATATGGAACGGGGGAGGCTATTGTACCGGCGGAACAATTCACCTGTCATTATCACGCAATTAGAATCGTTCCGCGCTATTCAATTGCTCGTTAAGCTTCCTTCGTGAATTGAAATAACGGGAGATGGAAATTCTTACTCGTTAACCGACTTTCCTAGACACTATGGTCGTTTCCCGTTTTTAGATTGCGATTATTAATCATTGATGGTTCGAGCGAAGTGAATAGTGGTTTTTGGGTTTTGAGGTTGGGTGGTGGGGGCTTTTGAAGTTTGGGAATTTAGGAAATTTGGGGAGTTTGGGGGTTTGGGACATGGAGATTTAGGGATTTAGGGATTTTGGAATTTTGGAATTCTGGAATTTTGGAATTTTGGAATTTTGGAATTTTGGAATTTTGGAATTTTGGAATTTTGGAATTTAGGGATTTAGGGATCTTGGAATTTTCACACCTTTGTGATTTAGGGATTTCGGAATTTTCACAACTTGGGATCTAGGGATTTTGGGAATTTGGGACCTTGGGATCTAGGGATTTTAGAATTCTGGAACCTGGTGATTTAGGGATCTTGGAATTTTCACACCTTGGGATCTAGGGATTTCGGGAATTTTCACACCTTGGGATTTAGGGATTTTGGGAATTTGGGACCTTGAGATCTAGGGATTTTGGGAATTTGGAACCTTGGGATTTTGGGAATTTGGAACCTTGGGATTTTGGGAATTTGGAATCTTGGGATCTAGGGATTTTGGAACTTTGGGACCTTTGTGATTTAGGGATTTCGGAATTTTCACAACTTGGGATCTAGGGATTTTGGGAATTTGGGACCTTGGGATCTAGGGATTTTTAAATTTTGGATCCTTGTGATTTGGGGATTTTGGAGTTTTGGAACTTTGGGACCTTGTGATCTAGGAATTTTGGAATTTTGGAACCTTGTGATGTAGGAACTTTGGAATTTTAGAATTTTAATATTTGGAAATCTACAGATTCTGAAACCTTGATATCGTTCAACTTCTATTATTCAAAAAAGTGAAATTATCAATAATTCCCCCTTCCATAATTACCCACGCGATAAGTCCCCGTCGCATATCACCCCACCCCATAATCCCCCGTTCCATAACTCATCACTTAACTCCTCCAGACTACTTTATCTCCAAAAATACAAACATTATAACCATTGCACATAAAAATAAAGCAGTACTTAAAAGATTGTATTATACTGCTTCTGAACGGAACATAATACCACATCAGAGGTATGCTTTAGGGCGCACAGCAGCCATATAACAAGTTTCACGTTTCCAATTTAATCTCAAGAAGATTTTCCTTTTGTTTTTAAAAAGTTCCGACACATTTGGTCAGAGAAACGCAACACGTGTTCGTCCCGTGAGCGTGTCTGCATTGTTTGCGTTAAGAAATATGGTGTTCGTGTTCACTGACACTAGAGAAAGCGAACGTGTCACGTGCAGCTATCTCTTTGTGGCTTTAACAGATTTAGGGAATTTGTTCTCCTTATACCTCTAGATATCTAGTTCCCTAGACACATATCCCTAGATCTTTATAACTTAAGATTTAGGGAATCTGTTTACTTCATACTTCCACATCTCTAATTTCCCTAGATCCACATATCCCTAGATCTCTATAGCTCTAGAATTCCATATGTCCCTAGATTACTGCATTTCTAATTTTCTAGTTCTGGTAGAGAATTACTACAATTAGAGCTATTCTAGAATTTTATAGCTTTCTATATTCCTAGTTACTAGAGTTCACGTATCCCTAGATCTCTATAGCTCTAGAATCCCATATGTCCCTAGATTTCTATATTCTTGGATCTCTATGCTGTAGATCTCTACAACCCTAGATCTCCACGTTCTTCAATCCTATACCTCCATGTCTCTAATTTCCCTAGGTCCACATATCCCTAGATCCCTATAGCTCTAGAATCCCATATGTCCCTAGATCTCTATATTTTTGGATCTCTATGCTTTAGATCTCTGCAACCCTAGATCTCCACGTTCTTCAATCCTATACTTCCACGTCTCTAATTTCCCTAGATCCACATATCCCTAGATCTCTATAGCTCTAGAATTCCATATGTCCCTAGATCTCTATATTTTTGGATCTCTATGCTTTAGATCTCTACAACCCTATATCTTCACATTCTTGAACCCTCTACCTTCATATCTCTAATTTCCCTAGATCCACATATCCTTTGATCTCTATATCTCCCTATTACTAGGTATCCCTAGATTTCTATAGCTCTAGAATCCCATATGTCCCTAGATCTCTATAACTCTAGAATCCCATATGTCCCTAGATCTCCACATTCTTGGATCTCTATACTTTAGATCTCTACAACCCTAGATCTCCACATTCTTCAACCCTCTACCTTCAGATCTCTAATTTCCCTAGATCCACACATCCCTTGATCTCTACATCTCCCTATTACTAGGTATCCCTGAATACCTATACTCCAGATATCCCTAGATTCCTATATCTCTGAATCTCCTATCCCTAGTCACAGGGAGATGGGGACTTCATACGCCTCCATACTCCACATCTCCAATCCATATATTCCTGAACCCCCATCTCTAAACCAGATATTCCTAAGTCCTAACCTAACCTAACCCTAACCCTTCATACCCCTAAGTACCCTATTAGACTTCTATATTTCTATACCTGCCCACATCTCCATTCCATGTACCCAGACCCCGCTATGTCTAGACCTCCACATAAATCCCGGTACTCGTAAATCCCCAGTACTCCCCATACCGTATACTCTCCATACCGTAATCTCCCTATACCCTATACTCCCTATACCGTAAACTCTCCATATATCAAGTCCCAAGTTCTTTGAACCCACCGTCCTTCAAACTTCCATCCGCTAAACACCTAACCCTACATCACCGTTAACTTCCACCTAATTAAAATGCCGTCCATGTAGAGGTCCGTGCGACAACCCTGTTATAGATTCCCAGCGTGGACTGTTGATTTTCCAAGTGGCTGAAACTCACCTGTAATCGCAAGGCAAAGATATCTGTCGGGAGAGCCACGTCCACCTTCGCGGCAGCCGCGGTATTCGGGGCGCAGACTCGCGATTCTTAGCCGAGTCCACGCCTCCAGTTTCGATGTCGG